CCTACTAGGCTTCCTTTACCTTTCCTTCATGATCGATTTCTTGTCTTATTTCCTGTCTATATCTCTTTATATGATAAATTTTTTTTTATAAAAATGAGGGAAGCAAATAATATTATAATCACTTCGGAATGACTTTTTTTTACAGGAATTGTAAGGGAGGGGGGAAAAAACATTTTTTTATGGGGATGAGAGGGGGGGGGGATATATTAATATTATCTGTTTTTTTTATTTATTAAAGAAAAACTACAATGCTTTAAAGGAAAATATAATCTACCTATATTTTATTGCAAATTTTTCGGTATAACAAAATAGAGTTTTAAAACTTTTTTTAAGCAAAAATTTGAAGACTTTTTTTTTTGAAGAATAGATTTTTGATCAAATTTTACCTAAAAATTCCAAAATCTTTTGTTTTAACAATTTTTTTTATAAGTAAATTTGTAATTTTCATGAATAAAAAAGTCTTTTTACAAGATAAAATCAAAAAAAATTTTTTTTTTCAAACTTTGATGAAAATCACATTCAATCATAATAATCTAAATATTTTGTTTTAAATTTTTCTTATCACAATCATTTATAACTAGTTCATTTTGTTAAATTGAGTGTATAAAATATACCCCCTTTTATTTAAAAAAAAATACAATTTTGCTTTAACACCTTCTAGAAATACTGACCTTCCAAGATCCAAAGTGTTTATGATATCTTCCAAAACTATCGCTTTAGAAGTCCCTCCTCAGAGGTAAATATCAATGACGCTGAGAAGCCTCTTCGAGCCGCGTCCAATAATGAACCCTCATTTTAAAAGGTCAAAGCCCACTAATAAAAAAAAATTTTATAATAAAAGTATAAGTATACATTAAAGTATACGATTGTTATTTCTTTATTCAAATTTAGATTTTAATTTGACGCTACTGTGTTTTAGCCACCTGGACTAATGGCAATATACTAAAAATCAAGGGGTATTTAATAAATCCTTATTACACCATATTTGAGGGGGATAATATCTTAGTCGGGGCTGTGCTATATCTCTGTACATATTAAACCCGATTCTATCAAATAAATCTAAACAATGATGCCGGTACCGTTACCCTGAATTTCGACGGATGATTATAGTAATCCCCCGTCATTTCTCCTGGATTCTTAAGGATTCAGTTTTATTTTTATATTAACAAAAAATTATACAAAAATACACATTAAAAATTTATATTAATGATATACACTCAAAGAACCAGTCAGATTCATATATCAATATATATGTTAGCGTCAATGTGTTTTTTTCTGGCAATTTATTATTTTTTCAACTTTAAATCATTTTTTGTGTATGTTTTTTTTAAAATCGGATTTCACCGGAAATGTATTTCCAAACTTGTTTGGAATACCTATCTTATGAATTTTAGATAATTTTACCGCTAACCTCTGAGTCCTTTATAAATTTATTATAAAAAAAATCTATGGAAAAAAAAACTAGTTTAAATTATATCAATTCATGGCCCAAATTGTCTGAAATTTAGTAGTATTCCATCCAAACATGATAGAATACATTTCATATAAATTAAAATTTAGTTGAAAAAAAATAAAATATTTAGTGTTGTTTAAACGGTTCGATTTTTAAAAACGCAAGCTTATTTGCCTCACGAATGTTAGAAAGGTTTGTGAACATCTGTTAATGAAATCTCGAGACTTGCATAACATTTTTGGGCCTAAAATATTAAGTCAGCTGTTTTTTAAAAATTGAGCTGTTTAAACAACACCGAACACGTGGTCGGAAAATAAAACACATTGACGCTAACATATGATATATAAACGTTTCGGATAGGTTAAAGTTTAAACTCAGAATGCTCTTTAAAAAATAAATTAAAAGAAGATTTCTTTAAGTAGTTTTTCTCGATAAGTGTTCAAATCAGGATATTTTAAGATTTAATCTTTACCTAAAAATTTTCTAAAAAAAGAAATATTTTGCAAAAATATTTTTTATAAAGTAAAATCTTTCGTGGATTTTTTTTTATGAATAAAATCAAAATATTGATCATCGGATGATCAAGAAAATTTTTTTTTCAAACTCTGATTTTTTTTTTACTGTTATTGGTATTGTTGTTAAACGGCTAGTTTTGAGCCGATTTTTAATAACGGCTGACTCAATATTTTAACCAGAAAAATATTTTTAAGCCCCGAGATTATGTATGTTTAGACCTTTTGTTCCTTCTATGAGCAAAATCTTCAAACTTGGGTAATACCTTTCTGGATGAAATAATGAGTTAGCCGTTTTTAAAAATTGGCTCAAAATGTGCCGCTTAACAGCACTAGTTATAGGAGGATTCTTTTATATTTCAAAATTTTATAATTTTTTTTAAATGGGAAACTTACTTATTTTTTTTGGCCTTTTTTATTATATAATATATAGTTTTTATTTCCAAAAACGAAATTTAATTTTTGACCTTGAATAATTTAAGCCATAAATATTTTATATTTAAATATATATATTATATATATAAAACAAATAAATATTTTAACCTTATTTAGATAGAAATAGAATACTTTTTAAAAGAAGCTATTAAAATATATATATAAATTTATACATAACATATAAGGCCTAAAATAACATAAAGGATCAAATAATAATAAAATATTAATAATAATAAAAATAAAAATAAAAAAATTTACCGTTGAAAATATTTATAAGGTAAAAATAAAATGAAAAAATTGAAGGTTGACTTTGTTTTTTTTATAATTAATTTTTTTTGTATGGTTTTAGCATCCATTTTAATTTATAATTTTAGTGATAATGATCAATGACATGTAATGATACCTAGAAACTGACGATGCATTCATAATAATGCATTTGAAAGCGTCGTTGAATGTGAATCAGCTGCGCCATTTTGGTAACCCATACAGCAATTATTTTCATGTTAAAAACTACTATTAAATTGATAACTTGCTTCCCATATTATCTCGACGATCAGGCGATTCTTTAATAAAAGTTGGTGTCAGACATAGGAATAAATTGGCCCCTCGTTTAAAATTTGGCGTCCCTAGCTGTTTTTCATTGATTCACTTTTAATAAATGCATCGTCGTTCTAGGTATTATTATATGTCATTGATAATGATACACAAAAAAATACATAAAACCACGAAAATTGTATTAAAGTAACAAAATCTAGGCGTATAAAGCTTAGATAAAATGTGATGCGAATATGGCCTATAATAGTGGCTCAGTCATAGAAAAGATAAAGCTAGATATTAGAAGGCTAGGGTTAAACCGGCCCGTTTGTTAAGATTTTTATGCGGGTCGGTCAAACTCCCGAAAGCTGACCTGTGATGATTTTCTTTAGGAGTTACCCGTGTTATATTATTTTTGACGTGTGGCAATAATTTTACACATGTTGCCTCTTCTCCTTTTTTTAAAGGAGACATTTTTCCTAATTCTGAATTTTACCCAATTCCTAAAATGAGTCCGAACCCGCCTAGTTCCATATTACCCCGGCATGGTTGTCCAAAAATTGGTCCATGTTGGCAAAACTTGTTCCATAAGAAAAAATTCGCTTCTGAAACAAAGCGGGTCCAGAACTCTGATATTTCGTCTTGGAGACTCGTGATGGTATAGAAACCACTGCCACCACGGACAGATCGCGTCTAGGGCTACATGCCAGTCTTGCCTGAAAGGAACCCTTAACCTTCTCTTTTAATTATATCTATTTTTATGCAATAGACCTATAGAGGACTTTTGGACCCGACCAGGATTTAATTGCCATTTTCAATTATATTTATAAATATGAGCATTCTAACCAAGTTAAAGATCCGACCATGCCCAGATGTTTTTAAAGAATCATGACAGTTATAGACCCATTCAGAGACTTCTAAATTTACTTTCTAGGCCATTTGACAATAAATAAGATGGGCCCTGACTATGTATGGTGTTTATGCAGTAACCCTCTTGAAATTTCAATGACGCAAAATTATATCGTATCCAAAGTGTTAGGTGGGTCATGGACGCGGAAAAGGCATTCTTTTTTTTTTTGAAATTAATTTAGAACCCGAAAATATTTTATTTCGTTTTATAACAATCAGAAAAAGGTGGGCATTTTGAGAGCGCAGACCAAACGGAGACCAAATTATGAAAACCCGTCAAATTAGGGGTAACATGGGCCGAAGCGGGTTCGACCTCTTTTAGAAAAATCGGTTTTCGATTATGTCCCCGTTCTCAGCATTTCCGGTAAATAGAATTTAAAATTCCTGAACCCAAATTCGGGTCCAGAACACTGAATTTAATTTATAATATATATTTTGTTTTATGCTTTTAGGAATGATATTGAATTGAACGTATTTTATTGTCCAAAGAAGAAAAAATTCATAATTTTTTTTTAAGTGACAGGCCTGGCTTTATGGATCTGAAATAAGGCGAGGCAAAATTATATCTATTTTGGTTCAACTCCAATCTTAGTGTTAATTTTTTTTTCCATATATATATATATCTAATCTTTTCTTTATTTTTATCATCATATTATATTTTTGTTTAATTTTTTTTTTAGTTACAAAAAAAGGGTTTAAAAAAAAAGCTGAAAATGTCAGCTTTCCTGTCACGTGATAATTTTTTCCGAACCATTTTTTTTTTTGAAATTTGGCCCTTCTAGTTTACACTTATAAGATTACTTTTGAAATAAATTTAAAAAAAATATAATATTAAATTTACATAATATTATTTTTGAAAATACAAAAAGAAAAACGGAAGAACGAATTAAGAATTTCGTTTTTTTTAAAGGTCAAAAAGGAAAATTATTTTATTTAAATTGTCCAAATTTAAGTTTTAAAAATAGTGATTTGAATAAACTCTCAATCGATTTGTTTTCTTCAAAGGTGACAAAAAATAAATTTAATCCAAAAAAAAGATTTTTTCCTTCCTTTTCATATAAAAATCATAATAATTTTTTTTTTTGGAAAATTCTTAAAAACTTTGTTAAAATACCATCTTTTCTTCTTTTTTTTCAAAGATAAAATTAATTATTTAGAAAAAAATATACAATTCCCTGTTATGGAGTTCATACCTACATTCTTCCTCGCGTTCCTGCTATCGGTGACAACGTTAGCTCAAGATACCTTATTCGCAAGTTTTACTATTTTCATTACCATCTAACCCTCCCCCCTACTACAGCAACACCCTCTTCCCTGAGGAATTATAAGCTTCAGTGTACTTTAATTTAGACTTTTCTTATGCTTTTTATTTCTATTTTTAAATAATGCCATTTTGGGGTTAGTTCTACTATATATAAAAAAAGTATTATTATTTTTTTATAGGCGGCCTATTGGTCGATTTTCAATGTTTAAAATTTACTATATTTTGTACAAAAAATTTTTTTCTGGTTTATAAAAGCATGGATTCTAACTCTAGAGAGTAAGCTCCCTTTTCCTTTTAACGATTGAATAAAAAAAAAATTTTTTTTAAATGATCCTTTTCCTTTTTAATTATAACCAAAAATTTCCCCCCATTTTTTAAAAAATTTAAATAATAAAAAGGTTTAGGATTCGTCTGTCCACAAGGGTATACTAAGAGACCAGGATCCATAAGCTGCTACAAATTTTATTGGAAAGAAGCTGGCCAAGGCGTGGATTGGCAGACCGCCACTCAGCAATGCGTCGTTGATCATAAATTCGGAAAGTTGTTGGTTATCGATGATATAGGCGAATACGTGAGTGGAATACTGAGATATATTCATTTATTTTTCCCCCTATTTTTCTTCAAGTCATGGTCAGCCGGAAGGTTTTAAAACTTTTGTTAAAAATTAGCGCCAATTTTAGAAAAATATATGAACTGGTTTTTAATCTAGTTTCACCTTTGAAAATCATATAAATATTTGTTTTTTTTTAAAAAACAAAATTCCCTAAAAGGAATTCATCAAATTCTTATGGCCAGTGTGCAAAGGTACGGACTGCGATAAACAGTACTTTTGGATCGGGGCAACCAATGTCGGTGATTGGGAATGGATCGACGAAACTCCGATTCCTTATAACGCGTAAAAAATTAAATTTTAGTCCAAAATTTGCTTTTAAGGGGTAAAGCTGCAAGTTTATATAATTACGCCAATATAAAATAGGTATAATTTATGGCGACGTATTTTTTCAAAAAAGTATTATCAGCTGTGATGAATCAGCTGTGATTTCGCTGGCGATTAATTTCGCGTGTCTCGAACGAATCGGGCTTACTGTAAATAAATGCAACGTATTTTTATATTTTTTATTCAGACCATGGGATTACGGCTTCCCAACTAAAGAAGGAAAATGTGCAGCCTTAGAATTCAAAAATTATAGAGTGCTAATAGTTAACGCGGCTTGTTACGTCCCGTTTTACTTTATTTGCGAAATCGATCTAAGTATTATATATATATATTTTTTTTTTAAAATCCGCCTTAGAATAAACCGACGTATAGACTGGGTTAAAATTAACGTAATTCAATGTTTCGGGTTTAAAAAAACCCCGGTTAGTTTAGGATGGGGTCTGATAAAAAAAAATGGAGGGGGAGCTATCTGGTTCTGTAAATGTTTTCAATAGAGATCACTAATCTGGTTTAAAGAATTACCAAATGTTTATATTTCTTCCTAAAAGGGGAATAAAGGATTATTTTTTTTGAATATAAAAAAAAAATTAAAGCCCCAGACCCGTGCCAAAACTCGCCCACTTTCAGTAAAAGATCCTTGGCATCTTCTTCCGCCGAAAATTCCTTAGCAACAGCTGGTAACACCAAATCGATCCAAAAAAGAGCTAGTTTTCAAGACCAGTTTAACGCGAACGATCCTAATTTAAGGTTCGATGATAGAGATGAAAACTTCAGGAGAAATTTTCGCGTTAACGATAATAGGATGCCGGTCTTAATGAATCAAGATTCCCGCCAAAGCCCCAGCAGAATGAACACTAATTCCATAGTGATCGGTAGTAATAGTGCCAGATCGAACGATATCGACAGGGTTCAGGTCTTGCCAGGTACCATCAATGCTAAACCTCTCGTTGTAGAACAAGTCTCCCGAGGCGGGTCTCCGTCACCTAGAGATAGTTCCATTTTAAACCGATTTTCTTCTCCAGTCTATTTTCCCCATCCGTTCTATAATAGAAAATTCATATATTGTTCGCTGGAAAAAGGCCGCCTCGTCAAAAATTGCCCCTACGATTGGTATTGGAATGTGGATATTAAACGTTGTTCAAAACAAGCCTTTGGCAGCGATGAAAATCCTATGACGTCAGGAATGAGCGGTGGAATGGGAGGCATGGGCACCGGAATAGGAAAAATGGGTGATGGAATGGGAGGAATAGGTGGTGGAATGGGAGGAATCGGTGGTGGAATGGGAGGAATCGGTGGTGGAATGGGAGGAATCGGTGGTGGAATGGGAGGAATTGGCGGTGGAATGGGAGGAATTGGCGGTGGAATGGGAGGAATTGGCGGTGGAATGGGAGGAATTGGAGGTGGAATGGGAGGAATTGGAGGTGGAATGGGAGGAATTGGAGGTGGAATGGGAGGAATTGGAGGTGGAATGGGAGGAATTGGAGGTGGAATGGGAGGATTTGGAGGTGGAATGGGAGGAATTGGAGGTGGAATGGGAGGAATTGGAGGTAGACAAGGCAGGAAGAAGAGAGCCCCGTAGAAATAATTCAATCACAAAATTTCTAATATTTTTTAAAATTAATTATAAACGAGATTTGATTTCAATGTCACAAAAAAATATTCTTTTGTATGAGTTATTTTTTTATATTATTCTATAAAAAATATTTAATTTTACTATGATTTATATTATGTAATATTTTTAAAAATAAATAAATAAATCATAATAGACTATTAACCAAAGAATATTAATAAGTTGAAGGCTCTAAATAAGATTGTTTTCTAAATAATTAGACTTATAAAAAAGAGTGTGATTAATAGCAATTTCAAATCTTTATTTGACCCATAACTTTTGACATTTTTTTTCCTATTATAAATAAAAATAATTATATATAAATATAATATATATCTTTTCTAAAAAAAATGATTTAATAAATTAGATCATTTGTAGTGTATGAAATGTTTGAATGAAAAAAAAAATATATAAATATATTGCCATCCTAAAGGAATATAAGATATTTTTTTAAAAATATTTAAATTTATTTCTGAATGTTTTCAATTGGTGGTGTTATTTGTGTATTTTCTGTTTAATTTTCATTTTATTTGCTGTAAATATGACTTTCTGTACCACCCCTTCCATAACCTATATTCAAAAAAATAATAATGTACCAAATAATCAGATATTATATATTATGTTTTTAGATTGTGATCTTATTTTAAATAAAGGAAAAAAAAATTAAAATATCAGTAAAATTAAAATTATCTTGTTATAATACCTCTTGGTCCATATAGGGATGCATAGCATGGAATGTGACAATATGGCTTACCCCCATGCTTAAAAAAATATAATAAGATAATATAAATAAGACTTATAAAAAATAAAATATGACTTTTAGGGCATTAACAAATATGAATTATTTTATATTTATTTATATAAGTTTATTTAAAAAATATATATGTAGAACATTACTGTAAAAATCAGGGTTGTGCATTTGATCGATCAAATAAGAAAATATTTTTCAAGACAATATTAATTCTATTATATTAAATTATATTCTAAATTTAATAATTAATGTTTTGCTCTCTATGGCACTTGTTCTAACTCCTACCAATTTTCTGGTTGACAAGATTTTCAATCGGATTTCTTAGGCACTTCTCTTAATATTCAAGGTGTTCAAAGCCAATTCCAACAACTTGAGCCCGAAATCTGATTGTTTTTTATGAAAGTTACTGGTTTCCACATATTTTGGCTATTAAATATGCCTTTAATTCTGAAATTTATAATATCACTTAAAATATTTTGATGATTATCTTTTTATGAAACGACTAATATTGGGGATCCAATAAATAAGCAGTGCAGTACATGTATTTGGATTGTTTTCTTTTTCAAACTTATCTTTAATATTTTTTCTTTAGGTTGGTAATTTATAAAATCATGGACATGATTGTATTATGTGTTTACTAAATTAAGCATCTCATTTTTTACGTGAGCCAAGGTCAATAAGATAGGTATTATTTTTTTGTCCAAAATATCATTTAAATATCCAACAGCTACTTTCAGAGCTTTCTTGCATATTTGTATTTGCTCATTACATTTTATTGATGATGCCCATCTTGTTGGGATAATTGTACATGTTGTAATATAAATTGGCAATTAGTAATTTTCTCAAACCATGCTTAAGTAAGATTATTATATATATATTTAGATCCAATCAAATTAATAATGAGAATAATTAATTTTATTATATTTCAAATTAAAATTTTAATATTTTAATATGAAAATTTCATATTTTTAATTAAATTGATGCCTTGATAAATATATTTTAAAATAATTTGTAAATAAATTAGATTGATAAATATGCTTTAAATACATATTAGTTCATTAAATAAATATAGCTATTCACCAATACATTTTAGAGTATTTGACTATTGACCAACTTGCCAACCCTGGTAAAAATATTAGATAATAGAAACAGTCAATTTGACAATATCAATATGCAATATTAATCAAATTGAAATGAATATAATATTAAGTGTTAGAATATTATATGACAATATTAGTCAACACCTTACCCAGATATCAGTGATAAAAATATTTAACTCCTCACACATACTATTTTATTAGAATTATGTTGAGAGATTTTAATATGGTATTAACCAATGCTTTCAATTTAAACCAATATCAGTGGCCACAAAGGATTATTAACATTCATAAATTATAAAAAAATATATAATTTAGTCAATATAATGCTAAGAATTTATTTAAAAAAAAGAAAAGAATTCATATATATTTTCAAACTAATAAATATACTAGATTGGTTATAAAGGTGGTATAGGTTAGGGTTGTTAAAAAGCCTAATTCCACTATAATATTAGCCAAGATAATATTATGTTAACCTTGAGATTTGTCAAAAATAGGCCCATACTTTTCTGTTATATATTAGCAATCCTGGTTTAACTTGGCTCATAATTGGGTCATTTAGTAAGAATGACCCGAATTGGGCTTTTTGACAACCTTAGTATAAGTACATCTCTAAAAAAATAAACTAACTTCTGCATGGTTTCCTGGAGTTAATAATTTGTTACATTTGTCACATTTCAGACATAAGGGATGCCAATCTTTACCTAGGGATGATTTTTTTTCAGCTAAAAAAAAAATTAAAATATAAAGATATAAAATGTCAAATAAATAAATATATATCAAGTGCCATTGATGTTATTTTATAGGGAGTGGTCACCTAATCAAAAAATTGTGTTCTCACAAATATCATTTTAAGTGAATAAAAATTTCCTCTACACACCTCCACCCTCCACAAAAATGTATATAATATATAGCTATAAGGATGAATTTATAATAAAGATTAATAAAAGTTAACCTTTTAAAATAACTACTATATAATTCAAAATTTTTCGAAATAAGGGATTTTAATCAAAAAAATTGTGAAAACCCAAAATTTTCACTCCCCTTATCAAAATCTTGGATGTCTAATATTTAATAAACCATAAATAAAACTAAATTAATATATTATAAATAATAATGTTTTTTTTAATACCAAAATATACTTCCTTTGTGCATCTTGGACATTTCGTCATAATAATATGTAAAGTAAATAGAACGTTTTTTTCGAATTTATTTTTTTCAAAAATATTTTCGTGGGCGCGTTAATGAATGAGTGTATTCATTAAATTTCCATATGATTTATTTTAATTCAGACAATTAAAATATCAATACATTATAATTCATTTTTGAAAAATTGTAATTAATTTAATTTTCTTTCTCTCTCTTGTTATTATTTTTGTTATTTATGTTTAAATTGAAACCAATATAGTTTTTCTTCTATTATTATTTTGGTTTATGTTATGCAAAATTTAATTATATGCTCAATTTAGTTTAATATACCCTTTTGATATGTACCCTGTTGACTATCCAAGCCTATCCTAAGACTATAGTAAAGATATCTGCATTAATGAAGCCGTTTCGTTTTATTTCCCAATAAACAATGTTATTCATTGCGCACAGCTAGTATCTCAAATGATGCTAGCCATTGGTTTCAGAGACTTTGTTCAATTAGCGAGAAATATTTTCAGATAGAAACAAACAACATCGCCGATAATATCAGTTGCAACTGGTGCCCCAATCAATGACCATGTGTATATTTCCTAATACATCCTCAATCTATAGACAATGTGGACAACGTCGAAGCTATCGATAGGATGGTTACCGAGTTAGACTTTTCGGTTTTTGACGAGCATCTGATAGCCACCGTCGACCAATATTTAGTACACCAGTCATCCCCACAGGCTCTACCCCCCCTCCCACAATCAAATGTTTCAATTTATTCCCACCCCTCTTGCTGGGCCAGTTAGCCGTCAGAATATATATAATTTTTATTCATATATGTATTATATTATTTTTAGGACAGTTGACTTATGGATTATATACTTTTTATACATATAAATAAAAATTCATTATAATAACCAAATTCTCATCTCTTTTTTGTAATATATATGATGTATAATAACTAATCCTTTTGACAATTTTTGCTAATTTCTTTAAATAAAGTAATACGAATAATTATCACCTTGGCCCCTCAAGATTTTCCGATCTGTATCTATCGCACTTACACCGGTCCTTCTATATATATACCTTGTTATACGCATTTCACCTATAATTATTTTGTGAAAGAATTTACTTTATATATATATAAATAAACAAAGGCTTACTAATTACAAAGGGACAAGTATTCAAAAATTCTATAAATTTACTCACCCGATAAATCCTAACTTACGAGATAAATATATTCAATATATTTTATAATAAGCAGAGTTGGGCAGGTCCTCTAGAAAAATAATCTAGATAAAGATATTGTTCATAAAAAATGGATCTTAGATACAGATACTAGTACAGGGTTGCCATGTCAAAATTTTCAAATTGAGGGAGAAATTTGGTATTATGCGAAAGAAATATGAAAATTGCGGTAGAATTATAAAAATTGCTAAAAAAGGAATTTGAATTTACTTATTTATCCGCCTATTATTTTTATAATTAGTTTATATAAATACAAAGTTGGTAACTATTTTTCAAAAATAATATCTTGATTTATTAAAATATATTAATTTATGAAAAAAACCAACAATCTTTTTTATATATAAAAAAATGTAAACAAGATAAAATTTTATAAAAAAAACGATTTTAATTTTACAATTAAAAATATATTTTATGCAAATTTCCCGCAAAACGACCTCAATTGGAAATCTACCATGTGTGTGTATAACATTATAGGGATAGGCGCTTAATTATCACGTTTAAATACATAATAAGGTACTCCAAAAATAAGAAATAATACAGATGCAACTACAGTTGCGGCAATTGTAATCACTTATCTTGTAGTACAACATTCACAAAGATACTTACCATCACAATGTTGGTAGAATCTTTATTATATTTAACGACTCTAATATAAATAAACACTATACTTGTAGAACTATTTTAGGACTAAATCCAGGAGGTCTTAATGTTGGTTGCTATATCTTCCTAATACCCGCCATCGATAGAATTTTAAAATTTTATAAACCTTTAAAAAAATATTTCTTAAATAAAGGTTATAAAAGCTGTAATAACATTTTGAATTTTTTTTCAATAATGAATGGCAGAGGTATATTTAGGATTGATTTCACATGTAGGAAATCTACTACATGTTGTTAATGTGTAGTTGCAATAGAAGAATCTTAACAAAGATTCACAAAATTATGCTGCAGATGTGTTCATCTTTACAGTTAAAAATTGACAATAAATTTTATGGCGCCATTGCTATAACTTAATTATATTTTATTTGAGATTTAAATAATAAAACTAAATCTTTACCGTCGTTATTGGGATATTTATGAAATTTCTGGCATGACATATGATATATTTGTTTAACCATTAGCTCGGCCTCTAATGTTGTTAAAGCAATCCGATTTATCTCCTTTATCAGGCTAAAAATGCGCTCGGACGAGGCCTTAGAATAAGGTAAGTAGAAGACATACTCGCATAATTTTCCCAAGCATGGGGATTTATCGTTATTACGAAAAAATTTTACTCATTTCTCCTCTGCTTTTAGACCATCTAACTTTAAGTATTTTGGCGAATCATAAAAAATAGAGAGAACAATCTCCTCAAACAAGGCATCAATGTCTTTCGGAATTTTTAATATATTTATTAAATTATAAAAACCATCAAATGATGGTTTATGTTCCAAGGTCATAATATTTATACATTTGTAAATAGAGTTATTAAAATCAAATTTTGATTGTAAATTCTAAAATTGTCTTAATAAAAATATCTGCTTCATTTAAAAATGTATTAATTAGAGTATTATTTGAACATTTTAATATGATATTTTTAGCAATAGCGCCATAAAATTTATTATCAATTTTTAACTGTAGAGAGGAACAGAGCTGTAGCATGATTTTGTGTATCTTTTTTAATAAAGAATATTCTGATTGCTACTGAATATTAACTGCATGAAGTAAATTTCCTACATGTAAAATTCTGCCATTTCATACTCCAAAAAATTTTTCAAAATTTTAGGACAGCTTTTAAAATCTTTATTTAAAAATTTTTTTTAAGGGTTCGTAAAATTTTAAAATTCTATCGATGGCAGGTATTAATTATAACCACCTGATAGGTACATATCACAACAACTCACACCATTCCAAGTCAGACCACTTCACCAGACTCTTTTAATTCATTAACTCTTTTAGTTGATGAACTAAATTCGTTGAAACATTTCATCAACAATTATTTCGACATCCACAGATAGTATATTCATTGCCTTCTTGCAAGAATTATGTAGTTATGTAGTATATGGCATATACAGCCAATTGGTATTAATTCATTATTGGGCTGCCTCAAATTGGTAACTTTGATTTTTGCCAAAATTTACAGAGGCATTATCAGAGCAGAAAGCTGACATGCAAATCATTGATAACCCTGAATCAGCTATATTTACCATTATGTGGCTAGCTACATTGTTGGATTTTTCACTATCCGAGGAAAAATTTTTAACAGTTTTATTGAAATGTTCTTATTTTTGTTGAAATAGCGAAAGATCGAGGGAAATGTTTTAATATTTCCCTTATTAGTGTTGCAAATGTTGAATTAAAGAGATAAATAATAAATGTTTATTTATTTTCAAGAAATGTCAATCAGATTATTATTCTTTTGATAATATGTTTTTATTGGAAGAATAATATTTTATTCAGTGTGTGATTTTTTATATGAAATGAGTCGGAGATTTTATTAAATGAGTTGTATATTTATGAATTGGAATTTGAATTATTTTATATTCGATTATTATGATTGTACTATTGGAATTTATTATGGAAAAAAAAGTATAGTTGTTAGTTTTATTAAAGTGGTGCTGTGACCAGGATTCGAACCTGGATTATTTGATATTCGATTATGATTGTACTATTGGAATTTATTCGATGAAAAATAAAGTGTAGTTGTTAGTATTATTAAAATGGTACACGTTGAACCAGGATCGAAATTTTACTGGGAAAAATATTTAAATAAAGTGAAATAAATTTTGAGGACACAGTTCCTAAAGAAAATCATTTTTATTCGGGGAATAAATTTGGAGTATCATTCGAATCCGGATAAAAAAGGTAAAAAAAAAAATAAATATTTTCTTTATTAAATATCTTGTTACACACAACGTAATTATTGTTTAGGATAAAATTTTTATTATCAATATTTTAATGAGAACATGGTTTATTTTTTTTATTAGTAATCAATGCAAATTTATAAGAATAATTTTGTTAAAGTACTTAATTCGAGTTTTGATAAATTGGATGTGACCAATTGTGTGGTTACAGCTTTGATTTTTTTTCATCTTATATATTTCTTTGATTTTTATTATACATTTAATTAAGATAATTAAGAATAAAATTTACAAATAAAGTGAGTAAGTTAGATGATTCTAATGTGGATGTGAATCCTATGACATCTGATAAATTTTTAGATTTTTCTGATGGTCTAAAAAATAGTTTAAATTTGATTTTAACTTAACTTAGAAATTTAAATATCCAGAAAATAAGTAATTCCAGTGGGAATGAGAATTCAAATACTAGTGAAATGCCTATTGTTGGTAAAAGTATTATGACGTCAAAAGATATAAATGTTAGTTTAGATCCATTTATGAGTGAAATTTCTGAGAAAATTTTTGAAATTGTGATTAATAAACCTGTGAAGGTTGTAAAAAATCATGATGTTACTAACAATGTTAAAGGAAATGAAAATGAATGTGTAATTTCAAATGATATAAAAGAAATTAAAGAAAATTTGAAGAATATTTCTAAAGATATAGATACAATTAGAAATAATAATCATAATTTTAGTGAAAATTGTGATATTTGTGGCCGGAGGGGTCATAGTGGGAAAAATTGTTTTTCGCCTGAGCGAAAAATCAATGAAAATGTGAATGTAAAATTAAATGATAAAAATGATATAATTTATCATCGATGTGGTTTTACAGGTCATATTAAAAAGAATTGCATAGTGAAGGAAGCCAATTTTAAAGCTGGTTTTCCAAAGAGACCACCGGTATTGATAAATCCCGTGGTACATAATATAAAAGATTTGGTTATTTTAAATTTAAGTGAAAAAGATATGAACAATAAAGATAATGACCGAATGTGTTTTAAATGTGAGAAAAT